CTTGGGTTCGATTCCCAGTCAAGGGCACCTACCTGGGTTGCAGGTTTGATCCCTGCCCCAGCTGGGGTCGTGGGCGAGGCACCCAATCATGTGTGTCTCTCACATTGGTGTTTCTCTCTCTCCCCCGCTCCCTCCCTCCCTCCCTTCCATTCTATCTAAAAATTAATGGAAGAGTATCCTCAGGTGAGGATTAACAACAAAATAACAAACTTTTAAAAAATTAAAATAAAATTACATAAGTTTGTGTCTCTGAGGACCCAGACTGAGCAAGTAGGGTAAACACCTTAAGTCCAGAGTAGACAGCTGCCCACCCGCCGCCTCCCACAAGCACCCACCTCCCATGGAAGCACCGAGGGGCCGTGGCCAAGGCCGTGGAGGCTCCGCACCTCCGCTCTGCTGCCCACGACCCGCCCCAGCCCGGCCCCACGACCGACCCGGCCCCACGACCCGGGCCTCTGCGCCCAAGCGCTCGAGGAAACAGGAAGGTGCGGCGGCGGCGGCACAGGAGGGAGCGCAGGAAGCGCCGGCGGGTGCGGGGCTTATCTGGGGCCGCAGCCGGACCCCTGGCCTCACGCCCTGCGCAGGCTGCGCAGGGGTCGCGGGGGGCAGCAGGGGGACAGGGCCGGATCACCTGGCGGGGTTCCCTGCCCAGCCCAGCCCCAAGCAGGACTGTCTCAACTGGGAGGTGGAGGGAGGCGCCAAGGCCAGTGCCAGGCCTTCCCTGGGCCAGGCTGTGCCCCTCCACCCGCAGGTGGCCAGGGGCAGGGGGCCAACCCCAGGGCCGCCCACCTCGCTACAGCACACACAGCTGCGCCTGCCACCGTCCTGACCGCCTCTTCCCCTCAAACAAGGACTGCTTTCCCCGCAGTGCCAGCTCCCTGCTGATTCTTGGCAGGGGTGGGGGGGGATTTGGGGAGGGGAGATGGTTATTTGTTTCTGTGCTTACAAAGCTGGGTCTTTTCCTAGGGAGGGGCCAGGATGAGGACTGTCCCTGGGCACTCCCCAGGGTCCTTCAGGCCACTGGCAAGGACAATGGGCTACCGCACCTGGCACTCCCCCCAACATAAGTATTTGCTTTGCTTCCTGGAGTGGGGGGCCTTGTTTGTTTCCCCTGAAGCCACAGCTGGAGCAGGCAGCCTCCTTGAACACCTGCAGGGACGGGGACTCCATTCAGGCTCACAAGCCAGGGCCAGTGCCGGCAAGGCCAGCGCCCCCTTCAGGTCTGGGTGCAGGTGTTTCCTGCGGGGGGAGGGGGGCTCCCCGCTGGCGCGCAGTGCCAGGCCTTCTCAGCGCCCAGCGGCAGATGTGGGGGCTGGCTAACTCACATCCTGTCCCCCAGCGGCAGCTCCATGAACCAGAACTGCTCTCCAAGGGCCCAGGTTCTGGTCCTTCCCCACCTCTCCTTGCTCAGTCAGGCTGCGGTGGTGGCTGGGGGGACAGGGGCGGTGGGGGAGGTGCTGCTGGAGCCCAAGAGAGGACCACAGGGCAGGGTGCATGCACCACCCCTTAGGCCTTTCGGAAGCCTGGGAAGGGGGGGAGGGGGAACGCACAGTGGCAAAGTCAGGACTAACTTTCTGGTTTATCGAATCCAGAGACTAGTTGGATGGACCGTGTTCCAGATGTTCTTTCAAAGGCTCCCAGTCTGGGAGGCCGTGGGACCGGCTACCCTTCAAAGTCAGCCTGGCCCCTCCTTTCCGCACTGCACGTGGTGGGCTGGCTCCCTGCTTTGGGAAATTGCACAACCCTGGCCAGTGCCCTGCAGCCCCATCTGCCACCCTGCACAGCCCTCCGCTGTGCCCCCCCCCCAAGCAGCTGAGAAGGCAGGAGAGTGGGACAGGCCACCACTGAGGGCAGCCCCCACCCAACCACGTGTGAGCCCCAGAAACAGTTTGTCATTGGGAGAACCAGGCCCAGGCCACATGCCCAGGCATCAGCAGGAAGGGCAGTGCGTACCAGGCTGGCAGACGGCTCGAGTCCATGGACACATAGAGCCCGTCCAGAGCCACAACGCAGGTACTCTGCCTCCATGACCAATGGCTCTGGCCCCGTGGTCAAGTCCCTCTCCACCGCTGTCTGGTCAGCTCCAGCCAGCACACGTTTACTGAACACTCGTGTGCTGTGCTGAACAAGCCACAGAGGGTCCTGGTGCTGAGCCTAAAGAGCAGTGAGCATCTTGGGGTCTGAGTAGGGCACCCCCAGCTTTCGCTCGGCTGTCTCAGCAGCAGGCATAGCTCCGTACCTGCCCCCAGACCCGACCGGGTTAGGACATCCCCACTCAGCACAAGTGAACCTTGTGCCAGACGCCAGACCCCACCCTGCCCTCCAACGAGACGTGTCCATCCCAGAGCCTGTGAGCAGGACCTGACTTGGAAAAGGGTCTGGGCAGATGTGATCGAGGAGAGCACCCTGGGTCACCCGGGGGCTGAGTCCAGTGGCAAAGATCCTTATGAGAGAGGAGGCAGAGATTGGAGGGATGCAGCCAGAGCTAAGGACACCTGGGACCCCCAGAAGCTTCAAGGTACAGGAAGGGGCTCTTCTGTGGCCCCTGGAGGAAGCGTGGCCCTTGGACACCTTGATTTCAGGCCAGTGACCACAAGAAAAGAAACTTCTGTGGTGTTAAGCGCCTAGTTTGTGGTGAAGTTTTACAGCAGCTTCTGAGATGTGGGGATGGGGCCCAGATCCCCCACACCCATGAGTAAAACGGGGTGCGGTGGGGGCACTGTCCTGAGAAAAACTGAGGAGCAAGGTTGTGTGGGCACCGTGTTCTGCCAGCTCCTACCAGAGGCCTCCAGCGCCTCCCCTCAAACAGACATTCAATTTGCCAGGACAGACCAGGAAGGCCCCAGAGAGAGCTCCCATGGCAGGGGGAGGGGAGGCAGGAGCCTGGACTGTGCTAAAAAACACACCCCTGCTGCACACACCTGTGCGCACACGCTCGCTCACACACACACTACGGGGGGGGGGCAGGGGGCAGGATCATCTCACCCACTCATGTACTTGTGGTTTAGGGCTTGGGTGGGATTGTGTCCCTAAAACTCCTCTGCCACCCGCACCCCCACCAAGGCTGTGGTCTGTTTGAACCTTCCTGGGAACGGGTGGGTGAAGGGACAGCCTGTTGCCCACCCACCGCCCCCAGGGCATCCTGACCGTTCCCAGCAGCAGGAAGGGAGCACTGTGGGTGGGCGGCAGCCACGGCTGCCCTGAAGCCCTGGTGTGCTCTCCCCACGGGCCCCAGGCCTGGGGCAGGTCCAAGTGCCAGGAGCCAGCTGCCAGGGGAGAACAGGGGCATGGTGGAGGACTCCGTGCTCTCTCTTACTGACTTTCCCAAGCCCCCAACTCAGCTGCGCCCCCATCTTAGGCTCCTACCTGGACACTAGGCCCCATACCAAGGACCACACAGCAGGAGTCCAGGGATGTGACTGCTCCCCTCAGCTGCTCCTCCACCAGTGCCCCCCCAAGTTCAAAAACACACACCCAGGTGCTCAGGACAGAACCCTGGGGTTGCTCAGACCTCCCTTGACCCCTTCATGTCCCAGCCTATTCCTTCGGCCTCAACCCCCCCAGATACATACCACACACACATGCACACCCCCCACCACACATACATACTCGCACACACACATACACACACACACCTCCCCCCCACACACACACATACACACAGTGCAGGGGTGTTCCTTGATCTGGACTCACAATCCCTCCTCAGTTCAGACCCTCAGGCCACAGCACTGTTTGTGAGTCCATGCTCCTGCCGTGAGTTTCGGCCCAGCTGACCCCCCACCCTAGTCCACATTGCACACGGATGCTCTGTGGGACATGCCAGTACAGTGGGTGGCACCCTCACACTCAGCGTGTGCCCAGGTCTGCGCCTCATGGCCCGGAGCCCCTGAGAAGTAAGTCGGAGGCTGAAGGCACACACGGTCCAGGAGCCTAGTTCCCACGCTGCCCACAGGGCACACGGGGGCCCCAGATCTTCCACTTCCTGGCGTGTGACCTGGGGCAAGTCTGTGACCTCCTGGTGCCTCGGTTCCCTCATCTCGAAAGCAGGGACAACAGTTCCACCGCACAGGCTAATGGTGCTAACACAGGGACCGTGGGAGCTGGGGGAGGGTCAGCCCGGTGCGGCCCCTGAAGGCCTTCCTAAACCCCGCTCTGCACTGCTAGGACCTGGGGCAGGCCTGGTGGGTGCCTCCTGGGCGCAGCACCTCTCTGGGAGAAGCATCCGCCTTAGCCAGGTGCTCTACCTGCCCCACCTCCCCCACTTGTCCACAGGCTGACCCGGGAAGGGCCAGACCCTTGGTCTGTGCGCTGTGAGTGGGGGCGCTCGGGGGTTGGCGCCCCACGCTGCCAAGTCCCAGGGCATGAGACAGTGGGTCTCTGGCCAGACTGTCCAGTCCCACAAAGGGGGCCGCGGCCACCCCTCCCAGGGCCGCAGGAAATGGCCTGGCCGCTTGCAGCCAGGGCCAGCGACTCCGGCTTCCCCTCAGGCCCGTTTCCTTTATCCGGCTGTTTTGCTCTGAATTCACAAAGCTCAGCCTTCCCCTCCCCTCCATTTCCACCCCTTCCCCCACCCCGGAGTGGAGCAGGACGGATACCAACCGTGTTCCAGGGCCCCGCAGTGGAGCCCGCCCCCAGCCTGGAGCCCCGGACCCTGCGGGAGGCACGCCTCCGAAGCGCCCCCTGCTGCCCGAGACGGGGAGCGCCGCCCTTGCCCAGGTGTAGCGGGAAGTGTACCCCTAGGCGCCCCAACAGTCAGTGCTCCGAGCGCCCACTCCCAACCAAGAAGCAGAGCCCAGGGCAGCCCCCCGCAGCCAACAGACGAAGGGAACAAGAACCAGACCCGCAACACCCACTATTTATTGAGGCCTGATCCGGTGTGTGGAGGGTACCAGGCAGGGCTCACATCTCCGAGTTCTGGGCCCTCGGGGGGACGCCCCGGATGAGACCTGGTGGGACCCAGTGGCCCACCGAGTCAACACGGAGAGCCCCGGGCAGGCGGGCTAGGAGCCCCCCTTGGCCAAGGCCCGCAGCGCGAAGAGCTTCTCCCAGCAGGTGGCGACGGCGTCCAGGGCTCGCAGCAGGAGCCGCCTCCGGCTGCCGCGACGCCGGGCGGGGCGCGTTGGGGGCCACCAGCTCCGGCTGCGCTGTTGGGAACAGGGCGGTCAGCAGTGCGCATGATCCCTGCGCCTGCCCCCTGCGGCTCAAGTCCGGCCCTGGGCAAGGGCATCACGCCTGGTCAGTGGCCCGATGTCAGCCCCAAACCATGGGAGGGCAGGGCCCAGGGTCTGGCTGGACCCGCACACAATCGGGGACCCGGGCGCACACCTGGCGCAGGGTCCGGCAGTGGCGCCGCATCACCGCCTCGGTGCGCAGGGCCACGGTCCACGCAGCCTTCTCCAGCGCCCCACGGGGGCCCGCAGCCACCGCCCCGCGCAGCGTCCGCCCCAGGGACGCTATGGACACTAGTATACTGTGCTCCTGGGGAGGGAGGGGGGAAGAAGTGCTGAAGAGCCCTGAGGAGGCACAAGGAAGAAGGCTGGAGGGTGTGGGTGGGGCATCTCCATACCTTCTCAGCGCCGCAGGAGGGTGCCACCCAACCCCGGCGTCGGGCCAAGGCTCCAGTCTGGTTTTTCTGAGTGAAATGAAGATGCCTGGAGCCCGGCCCGCTCCTGGCCGCCCCGGGCCCAGCCCGCCGCAGGGCAGCCTGCAGGTCCTCGCAGATGACAGCTTGGTAGTGGCGGAGCACGTCAGGGACGCTGCAGGTGCGGGGTCGGGCCCCGCGCGGCGCGGTTCCCAGCAGCGCCAGCAGGAGCGCCCAGAGTGCGGGCTTGGGGGACACCTAAAAGGCCACCAGGTCAGGGCGGGCCACCCAGGCCTGTGGAGGGGGGTCCTCTCCAGTAGCCTCGCAGGCAATATACTTCGCCCCCACCCCAACCTGGGGGAATCTCTGAGCTGATGTAAAATGCAGGTGTCACCACAACATCCAACAAGGGCAGACAGGTCTGGCAGGACAAATCGCTGCTGTTTTAGAGAAATACCACAGGCCTGCAAAGGACAGCCCAGTGCTGACCGGCGGGGTGAGAGGGCTGGGAAGGAGACAGACTGGGGGGGGCCTAGGCCTGGGGTGCAGCAGTGCCCCCTCCCCAGTTCAGCCTTGCCCCTGGTATACCTGACCCCCCCCCAGAACTGGGTCCCTCCCACAGGAGCCATAGGCAGAACCACCCCCATGATCAGCTCTGACCAGAGAAATGCGGTTCCCCTGCACGCCCCCAACCAGGAGAGGGGTGAGGACTCAGCTCATGGCCACACCCACTTAGAAGGGGAAGGCTTGGGGAAACCCCAGGGCCAAGGGAGGGGGCCACACGATGCCCTTCCAAACGTCTCTGGTGAAGGCCCCCCTCCATTCTGGAGGGGACCAGCTCTCATGGGTAGAAGCCCAGCTCCCCAGAAGCCCAAACATCAGAAAAGCCTCATCTCCAGGCTCCCAGCCCCCAACCCACCCTCAGGCCCCAAGATGAAGTCTGAAGCGGCTGGAAAATCAGTCATGTGAACCGGGCGAGACCAGGACTCGACTCTGCTTCCCAGCCCTGGTGGGCCGCCTGCCGAGCTGCACCCCAACCAGAACCTAGGCCATGTCTGTGGGGCTGCTGTGTAGGGCACTGGGCCGCAGGCACAGATGCAGGTGCCCCTTCTCAACCCGACCTGCTGGACACAAAGGCCAACTCGGGGTCGCCCCTCTGCCTGCTGCGGGTCAGAGGGCACAGCGACGGGAACGAGCTGGTGCTGGAGGGACGTCGCAGTGGCATGGCTGCCCAGGGGTCCTCGGGAAGCTTGCTGTCCAGCCCCCCCAACACACTCACGTACCCCCACTCAGGCCAGCCCAGCCCAGAGGACTCCCTACCCCCAACACTGCCGGGAAAGGCCGGGCCCAGCACCCCGGGCAGAGCACCCCGGGCCAGGCCTGGGGACGGAACCAGGGGAATTTCCCAGCCGGCCGGTTGGTCGGTGGGGCGCCCCAGAACAAGCAGCCTTTCCTGGGCTGTGCAGGCTCCTAGCTCCCAGCCCCTGGGCCCACGTGAGTCCCCTCGGTGGGCCCGAAGCTGCTCACCATGGGCCTCTCGGGGTCAGGCCCTCCCTCAATCCCGCCAGTGAGCCTCCATGACCCTGGGGTCTTCAGGTGGGGACGCGGCTCTCTCCAGGTCCAGCTCCAGCCCAGCCAACCCCAGCCAAAGGCTTCCCTGGACAGGCTGGCGGCAGCTGACAAGGCTTTTGAAGTTGGCTCCTCCAGCAAAGGAGGGAGGAGGGAGGAGGGAGGCAGGAGGGAGGCCCCAGGATCCCAGCCTGCCCCCAGCCTCTCCCCACCCCTATCCAATCGCTTCTTCAATTAACCTGACCCTAGACCCAGGCTGGGCTCTCCTCCCACCGCGTTGGTCCTGATTGAGGCACCAGCCCCTCGGAGCTGTCTGGGAGGGTGGGGTGCCCAGTGGGCAGAGGGCAGTACAGCCAGGGGGGCAGGCCAAGGAAGTGGGGGCTGCCCACACCCTCCATCAGCCCCCCACCCCGTCAGCGCCGTCTCTCCCAGGAAGCTAGCCCAGGTAGAACCAGGTGAGTGAGCCACGACAGCCCCACACCCCGCTGCTGCCCACCCGCCTACAGAGCGGGGGCAGCCTCTGCAGCCCACTCGCCTGAAACTGGAGCCGAAAAGTCAGTTGAAGAAAAGCTGACGTATAGTTTCCCCAGAGAGAAATAACTGAACCACCTCAAAGCATCTAAGAAGACAACCTGAGACGTTCACAGGACGCCCTGAGCCCTGGAACTCCAAGGGCCCTGCGGGAGGCCCCGCCTGCCAGCACAGCCAGAGGAGGGGTCCCGGGGAGACACCCCACTCGTCCACAAGGCCGTCCACGTGCCCGCGGCCACAGCCAGGGCACTGCCCTTCCTGGGCCTTGGTTTCCACCCCCCAGAGAGACTGTGAAGCCCGGGATTCCAGGGCTCCGTGTCCGTGTCCCGGGCAGACCCTCCCACCTCCCCCAGGACAGGGGAGGAGAGCCAGCCACAGCCACCTGCCCTGCCATGTGCAGGGCCTCCTGGTCCTTCATCCTCACACCTGCCAAGTGTCCCCGGTAACTCACGCTTCATTCACAGGTGAGGACAGCTGCAAGTGCTTTAGGAAAACTGCTGATTATAAAGTAGCAAAGACAAATTCACCTGCAAATATGAGGCCCTGTGACTAGTGACATCTCCCCACAACACCAGCCTCCCGGTCAGCCTTCAGCACTGGCTCTGGGGGGCCCTCGGGGGCTGTGGCACCCAAACACGGGAAGTCACCCACCCAGCGAACCCGGGACACGTGCCCCCTCTAGAGGAGCAGCCGGCCCCAGGGGGGCGGTGCCAGGAAAGGTGCCCTTCCCGCCACCTCCTCCACAGAATCTCTGCAGGGGCCTCCTCGCCCACAAGAGCTATCGCGAACCCTCCGCGCAGGGCGGTACGGACAAGGCACAGCAGGAGGCAGAACCAGCAGGTGACCGTACAGGCCACCTGGAAAAGCTTTAATCACAGAGCAGACAGACAGCTCAGAGCCCCTCCCACCCCTCCTCACCACGCAGGCCGCAAGCTCCCACGCCCACCCATGGCGCAGACCCAGCACAGGACTGAGTCAGAAGGTGTTCTTGATGCGCGCGGCCACCAGCACGAGGATCTCCCCAATCTTCCTCTGCCAGTTGGCGATGTCCTTGGACACGGAGCACCACAGCTCCCCGTGCCGCGGCTCCGCGTTCTCGCAGCGCCTCCTCACCTCCTCCCGCTGCTCCTGGACACGGAACAGAGGGCTGAGGGGCTCCTCCCCACGCCTGACCCTCCACGCAGCCCAGCCCCAGGGTGGACGGACGACCCGGGCAAGCCTCCACACAGGGTGCGCAGCAAAGTGAAGCCGAGTCCACTCCCCATGGGCACCTGACCCGCCCCCGGAGCCCGGCCAGCCGCAGACCTCTGTGCCGTGCTGCAACTCGAACTTGTAGAAGAGCGCCCAGGCGTCCCCCAGGTCCGAGTCGATCTTCACAGTGCGGTGGAACCACTCCCTGGCCTTGGTGATCTTCCGCTCGCTCCAGAACAGCCTGCGGGGCGACGGTGGAGCCTGGTGAGCGGGAACGAGGGCAGCAGGCCCTAAGACCTGCCGGAGCCCTGTGGGCCTGTCCCCCCAGCGGCTGAGGCAGGGGCCCGGCCACCTGCAGATGGAGCAGGTCACAGACCTGGAGCCGTCGTCTCCTCAGAACAGCCCCACACGGAGCAAGAGCCTCGAGCTCCTTCGCGCCGTCTCCCCTCTGGGCCAAGTGCAGGGGCAGACCTGACACGTCGCACAGTCCAGGCCGCCATGGCCACGGGGCGAGGCAGATGCAGACCCTGGGGACCAGGCCACCGGGGAGGACCCTCGAGGCCAGACCAAGGGACAGGAAGGGGCAGGGCTTGCTGCCACCCCCATCAGCCCGGCTCCCTCTGCAGAGGCAGCACCCTGACCCTGCTCCCCAGGCAGCTGCTGGGACTGGTCTGCGCAGCAGGAATAATTTTATGCTCTGATAGCTTGATTGTTTTTTAAGCCTTGTGGTATTCTTAATTGCTGGGTGTTAGATAAACTGTGATTTAAAGAGCACAAACCCAGATAGGCACACAGAGCAGCAGCCTGGGAACGGCCAGGAGGGACTGTTGACTTTAGCAGAGCCTTTTACGAGTTTTTATGGCTGCGCTATCTGAGTGTCACACATAAAAGTCACTCTGGGAGGCAGGAGCACAGGGAGGGCGGGTGCCCGGACAGGCCCAGCTGGGCCTCAGAAGCCTATGGGAAGCCTTGTCCCCAAGCAGGGAGGTGCCGGCAGCACCCGAGGAAGAGGCCAGGCCACCCAGGCACGTCTGCTCAGGCTTTGGCCGCCCTGGGGAGCCCGAGCAGCAGCCCAGGGCCCCGCCTCCTCCGACACATCCCCCTGCCCTGTACACGCGCCCCTACTCTAGGGAGGTCGTCCGGGGGCTCTGAAGGCCCTCCAGTCACGGCCACACCTCACCCAATTTCCCTGAGGCCCTGAACTCCTTTCCACGCCCACACCTCCCAAGGGAGCCGCTGACCCCACACCGGGCACACAGGTCACGGCACAGCAGTGCGTGTCTGTACCCCAGGCACACGGACAGCTGGACCCACGGCCCTGGCGGCTCCCCAGGTCTCTCAGGACAGTCTGCGCTCTCACTCGACAGAGAAACTATTTTCTTGCTTATGGCCCTTTTAGCCTCTCCTTGTGAATTGGACCACGTGGGCCAACGTCAGCGAGTCTGTCTCGAAGCCCAGGGCCCGCGTGTGAAGCACAAAGCGACAGGCACAGAGGACAGGGCCACTGGAAGAACAGGGCAGAAAGACAGGACCCAGGAACTTCAGGGCACATGTCCACGCAACCCAGCCTCAGGCCTGAGCCAAAGCACCTTGCCATGGAGCACAGTGGCCAGGAGCCATGGAGCCTGCCCTGCTCCAGACCAGGGGACCCCCACTCACTTTGCCACGGCCAAGAGCACGTGGGGGTCGTGCTCACACTTCTTCAGGGCGTCAACGCTCTTGGTCTTCCTCTGGGGCCTCGCCTCCAAGAAGATGGCCTCGGACCACAGGACACCTGAAGGTCAGAAACAAGGATGCCGCACTCAGACCCACACTGGCCCAGGAGCCTGCCGTCCAGACAGCTGCCTGAGAGCAGTGTCCTGCTTAGGGGGCCAGAGACCACGCGTGCCCACCGTCCTGCTGCCGGCCTGGGACCGCAGCCCGAGGGCACAGACTGGACACCGTGTGAGGGTGACCGGGTCTCACTCCCACTGACTCAGTAATTTCACATCTAAGAACTTACTGTAACAAACAACAAGAGACGCTTATGCAGGAAGGCATAACGTCAAAATGGAATCAGATTAAAGATCGAGTAGCAGCCCTGGCCGGTTTGGCTCAGCGGTTACAGCGTCAGCCTATGGACCAATGAGTCATGGGTTCGACTGTGGCCAAGGGCATGTACCTCAGTTGCAATTCGGTCCCCGGCCCTTGTCAGGTCGTGTGGGAGGGAGCCAGGCAATGTGTGTCTCTCTCTTTCTCTCCCTGCCACTTTATCTGAAGATAAATGGAAAAATATCCTCGGATGAGGACTAAAAACAAAAATTTACATCCTTGAAGATTCGATGATAATGGAAAATTCTCACTAAATTTTCAGCTTTAAAAAAAGGCACGAAACTAAACCTACTTCATGACTTTACACATAAGCTCGAAGGAGTGACTTCTGAGCAGTGGTCACAGGTGACCTCCACCCTGTCCACTCCAAGTCCACTCACACTGCGTCCCGTCGTCCGAGGGGAAGCAGTGAAGGCTGAAGGGAGAGTTGGCAGCTCTCCCACAGGCAGAGGGACCCCACCGAGACAGGGCCTCTGGCTCGTGTCCCAGTGACCGAGTCAGTCAACTTCCGACTCAGGGATCTGCACACACAACCCGCTCAGCCGGGCGCCTTACCGGAGCTGGGGCACTCCTGCAGCGCCTTGGCCATGAGCGTGCTGGCGATGTTCTTGAGCCCCGCGCGGTGCTCCAGCCTCACGGACTCCAGCCTGGGGACACAGCCCAAGAGGGAGGTCCAGCGCCCACGCACGGACTGACCCGAGCAGGGGCAGCCGGAGCCGCCTGCGCGGCCACGCAGAGCAGTGAGGCCTGTCCGCCCGTGGTCGGGCCCACTGGACCGGCCTGCACAGCACTGCACAGTGAGATGGGTGGGTGAGGGCACTGGGCTGCTGGGCACCACACGAGGGAGTCTCCTTCAGTCCCACCGCCTCTGCCCTGTTCCCTGTGGGCGAAACGCCCTCTGTGCCTGAGAAACACCTATTCACCCTCAAGGTCACCTCTCCATGGAGCTGCTCTCTGGCTCCGTCCATCCCAATCCCCCACCATCAGCTCCTGGCCCCTGGGCGTCCTCCCAGAGACAAATCAACCGGCGTCTGACTGCCCACAGGTCCACCTGAGCACCTGGGCCGAACCCTCCCAAGGAGACCACAGCTCATGGCCGGCACCTGTCCTCTTCCCAAGGCCGGAGCCGAAAACACCGCGCACACGGCACAAGTGAGGACCACCCCCCAAGCAACAGGTGTGGTCAGAAAGCTGGGCCCGAGACGCACCACAAGCCGGGGTTCTTTGGGTTCTTCAGGCGAGACTTCTCCAAAATGGCCCGAGCTCGGGTCAGCTGCCCAATCTTCTCCTCCAGCCGGGAAAGCAAGAGCCAAAGGGGTGTGGAGTGGGGACATTTCTTCAGCTGTGGCCAAAAAAGACAGACAAGTAAGCGGGGCGCTGGCTGGCGTCGGGGAGGGGCTGTGCCAGCTCTGGCCGGCTCCTCCAGCCAGGAGCGTCGGGCTGCCCCATCCATGGAGCCCCCACCACTTCACAGCTCAGTGGGGGTTATGTCATGGCTGCTTTCTGCACGCTGTGTGTACAGGGTGCGTGCCTATGGGCACAGCTGTGCGACACACACGCGTATCTGCACACACACAGCAGCTGGCACACCAGAGGGCCACGACCCACACTGCACGAGTGCAGCACATGCAGCCCAGGCGTCAGAGACGATCGGAGCCCAGAGGAAAGGCGCTGCCCGGAGTGAGGGGTCAGGGCCCGGAGTGAGGGGTCAGGGCCCGGAGTGAGGGAGGGGATAGGGCTCGGCGGCCGCAGCTGTGCAGCGAGCAGAGCTCACCCCCTGACTGTAGGCCTCCCGAGCCTTGTCCGTCTGCCCCTCCTGCTCCTCGATCTGCCCCTTCATCATCCACAGTTTGGGGAAATCCTCGTAGTGCTTCAGGGCCTCCTCGCACAGCTCCTGGGCGGCTTCGATGTTCCCCAGCACCCACTCCAGCTTCACGGACTTCATGAAGACCTGGGGGCAGGCACACGTCAGCCATCCCTGCCCTCGCCGTCTGCACAGGGCGGCTGGTCAACCACCTCTGGCCCAGCCTCTAGCACTGGGCCCGGGCTGGGCTGGCACCTCTGTGGCACATGCTTAAAACAGGCCGCCCTCACCACCGTCCATCCTGCTGCACCTCACGTGCTCTGTCCGCTGTC